CGTCTTATACATTATCGAAGAAAAAGACGTGCCCGCTCCTCCTCTTTCGATTGGTGAAAACCGCAGGTAGCTAGGTATTGCGGTTGTCGAGTTATTGAGCTTACACTCACCCCTCTTTTATCCTGGCGCGGACATTAGTCTATCTATGCTATAATTTTTTATATAAATCTTTATTCAGATCAGTGTAAGTTATTTACCTATAAAATAACGTGAAGCAATTTCACCATTAAAATAGAAGATTTTAAGTTCACTTAAATTAGGATAATCAGCAAATTCTTTGTCAAAGTTGTAACTTCGATGAATGTCATCGACGAAGTTATAACTTCGTCAAAATTGTTGATTGGTGTAACTTCGATACGATATATATAAACAATCGTCTAATGTTATTCTACGCATGTTTTCTTTTTCGTCGTCATATAATTGTCGATAACGTTTTTTATTTATTTTCTAGACATGGAACAAACAATGCAATCAAGAAACGACACAAAGTTGAATTATAATGGAAATATAAAAATTGAATCGAATAGGTGAGTCATTTAAACTTCTACTTTATTTTATAATTCTTCTCATTTTTTTTATTTCATCTAGATCTATTCTTGAACATTTGGCAAATGAAATGATTTATGAAATATTTGAATATCTTGATTATTATGATGTTTATAATGGTTTTTGTTATCTTAATAAACGATTTCAATATTTAGTTCTTTATTCAAGTTTTCCAATTACAATTAATACACCAGCTGTCAAAATCAAATTTTCAAAATTATTATAGAAATATAGTTATTCCAAATAAACATCGAATTAATGTACTTTCTTTATCAAATCCATTTGCTGTTGATATTGTCTTATCACCACCTCCTATTATTTCAGATTTTGTTCGTCTTGAAACATTAATTCCCATGTCGCAAAAATCGGATCATTTTTAGCGGTAAACCGCGGTTTACCAGCTAGGAGCCGGTAAATCGAACAAAACCGGCGGTTTACCGCGGTAAACCGAAAAAAACCGCGGTTAGCTAGAAAAAATCGCGGTTAACCGGAAAAAACCACCGGTTTTCCGCTGTATGCGAACCGGATCGGTAAAACCGCCGGTTTTCTCCCGGTTTTCACTACATGGGTTCTTGATAATATCAGTGTGGAAAGTCTCAAGAAAATTTTCTATGAATTAATGTTCTTATCAAATTTACATTCATTAGTGCTTAATCTTGCTGAATATGTGCAAAATTTAAATGATATTTTTTCTAATATATTTCGTTTACCAAAATTAAAATATGGCAAAATTACATATCGAATCAGAATCGATCAGGATTTATCAAGTGGTTATTTTAGTAGATTTCATTGTATTCCAATTGAAACTCTTATTTTTAATGGTCCTTTTTCAAATGATTCATTGAATAATTTATTATATCATTTTCCAAAACTTCATCATTTATCAATTAATTACCTTGCTGCTTCTCGTGACGAAAATAGTGAAACACATGCTACTTCATTATTAAAACATTTAAAATATGTTTCACTTAAACTTTATTTAATTGCATTTAATAAATTCGAACAAATTGTACAAACATTTTTTGGTGATATTGAAGTTTTACGGATTTCAACACAATATGATACAGCATATTTAGATGCAAAACGATGGGAACATTTAATAACATCTTATATGCCGAATTTACGTATTTTTGATATACATCATGATGGTGGTGTACAACGTAATCAATTAACCTATCATGATTTAATTAATCAATTTAGATCATCCTTTTGGATTGAACGAGATTGGTTTTTTGCACATCAACATGATTGGCTTAAACGGTTACACAGTGGAGTTTTTTATTCAACTGAACCATATAGGTGAAAAAAAGTTTCTGCTCTTCGTCAGTAAGAATTTCATCAATGAGTTGGCAAGAGTTAAAGATCTACAGGATATCACTAACATGTCCTACACTATCAGGACAAAATTATGAGAGTCACAGGACAGATTCCAGGCTACGAAAATCTTATGCCCTGCAGGTCTCTAGAAAGAGTCTTCTAGACTTTTACCATTATTAATTGAATCTTAGTAGATTTCCGCAAATTCTCAAAGAACAATATAGGTGCAGTTAATACAAAACTCTTTAGTCAATTTTAAATTACTCTCAAAGCAATAAAAGCTCGGTGGATTTTTGCTAATATTGGCAAATCTTTAGCAAAGATTGACCAGTTGGTGTACATCTAGACAAGCGTTAACGAGAGTCCACCTAAATTTTGTCAATTGAGGAATGTTCAACGAGTGAATTGACGATAAATGTATGACAGCTCACAGTTTATTGAGTCACAAGAGCTGACTTTAACTAATTATGATTAGCTCGCTTCTATAAGTACGGATTTCACCGACCAGCTCCTTTTCATAAAGATGTTTCATAAGCAGCTGTTTTCAAGTGAGCTGGAATGCTTAACCCTGGGTGGTTTTGCTACCACTAGGGTATTTATACATGGGGAGCTAGAAAACGTCTTTCGCCCAGTTCTTCTAAAAGCCACAGTTTGAGTTCAAGTATTCTGTTATCATGCTTAAACAGATTTAGGATTATATGCAAAATTTTAGGCTTCCAAGTCTTCCCCTTTGCTGTATTCTATAATTTCTTCTATGTTTATAAAACATGCCATTTTTCATACGACCATATTCCTATTATATGGGAAGTCATTGGAATTAGCATAAATGAAATGGCAGAATATAGTAAAGAACAAGACTTGGACATCTGATATTTTGCACATAATCTTAAATATATTTCAGCATTGTAATAGAATACTTGAATTCAAACCAAGATTTTTAGGAGAACTGAATGAAAAAATTTATTTATTCCTCTATGTAATTGCATTTTAGTTTATGTAGCGTAAAATAGAGGTGTCATAAATCTAATGTGTAAGATAAATTGAGATTTTTAGTAACATCAACTAATTTAAAAAGAGCAAAACATAATAGCCAACTCAATTAGGTGATATAGAGCTGTCACATTTCTAGCTGGCGAGAGTCTGATTAGCGAAAATCTTATTGACAAAGTTCTGCTAATCTGTAGAAATGGATTAGCATTAACTTGATTTTTTTTTCTAGACGAAAAGATTTTACATTTTATTGGCAATTAGATAAACAAATTTGTCAATCTGCTCAAGAAACAAATTTAAATTCAGTTAAACATGTATATATTTGTAGTACAAAAGCAAATAAGAATCCAGCCCATTATTTTCCAAATGCTACGGAATTAACAATTAAACATTGTCTTGAAAAACTTGATGATTTATTGGTACAAACACTAAATAGAATTGTTCCCTTACGTCAACTTACCAGATTAATTATTAAAGATTTTCATATTAATTTTGATCAATTTATTCATGTATGATATTTGACGCCACATTTAACTGGTGCGGCAGAATAAATGAGCCTCTCAGTATTTTGACAATATCTCTCTCAAATTGTTACGTATATACTTGAATCTTTTCTCAAAAGATAGCCTGTGTAATTCTCTACAAAAATACCTGAACAACTCTACAATGCTCCAAAATGGCTCACTTTCAAAAGCGCATTTTTATAAAACTAATGATTTCACTTCTTCAAGCAAAAGAGATACAAGACCCTATTCTAGTGCAATTGTCCCCTGTTTTCAGGTGTACTCTCTCTAATAGAACTCAAAAGAAGAGATTCGGATATTATTATGGCATTCCAGCGGCCAATATTCTTGAAAAACGCGTTGGAATCATCGATCGTTCTCGTTATACGCTTTGAGCATTGCAGAAAAATACTTCACAACATGCTGCTCATATAGAAATGATAGAGAAAACATTTTTCTTCAACTGAGTAATAAATCTGAGTATGAAATAATTTTTCATTCAAGATTAAAAATTAAAATTGTGATGAACCTTAATGGAAGATTCTCAGAACGCAAATAGAGGAGAGCAAAGAAAAGTTCTTGTTAGGATAAATTTACAGTATGCCAAAAAAAGTATTCCTTGAAAGGATAGAGCTTTTTATCGGCTACAAAATGGCATATTCAGTCTCTTAAGATGCAATAAAAAAGCGGCACAAAATCGTTAATATAAAAACAAGTTCTGTGAAAGTAGGCCATTTTGGAGCATTGTAGAGTTGTTCAGATATAATTCCATAGCTATTCGTTGGAAGATCTCTTTTCATAAGCTTTTGTAGAGAATTGTGCGGGCTATTTTTTGAGAAAAGATTCAATTATATACGTAACAATTTGGGAGAGATATTGTCAAAATACTGAGAGGCTCATTTATTCTGCCGCACCCGTTACATACATTTAAAAGTGATTTTTTATCTCTTGATAATATTTATCCAAGTGCAATTAGAAAAACTGATACTTTTCGACATGTATTACATACAAATGAAATTAAAACTTTGGATGTTCGTCATGAATGTACATTAGAAGAAATTCAATTGATTGTTGATTTATTTCGTCAATTGAATTATTTAATATTGGAATGAAAAGCAAAGAAATTGAACCAATAGTTCACTATGTATTATTAAAGAAACACTAAGACACCTTATTTGTTTTTTTTTATGTACTTTTGAAATATCTGTAATATNTTTTTTTTTCTAGACGAAAAGATTTTACATTTTATTGGCAATTAGATAAACAAATTTGTCAATCTGCTCAAGAAACAAATTTAAATTCAGTTAAACATGTATATATTTGTAGTACAAAAACAAATAAGAATCCAGCCAATTATTTTCCAAATGCTACGGAATTAACAATTAAACATTGTCTTGAAAAACTTGATGATTTATTGGTACAAACACTAAATAGAATTGTTCCCTTACGTCAACTTACCAAATTAATTATTAAAGATTTTCATATTAATTTTGATAAATTTATTGATGTATTATATTTGAGACCACATTTACATACATTTAAAAGTGATTTTTTATCTCTTAATAGTATTTATCCCAGTGCAATTAGAAAAACTGGTACTTTTCGACATGTATTACATACAAATAGAATTAAAACTTTGGAACTTCGTCATGAATGTACATTAGAAGAAATTCAATTGATTGTTGATTTATTTCGTCAATTGAATTATTTAAATATTGGAATGAAAAGCAAAGAAATTGAACCAATAGTTCAATATGTATTATTAAACAGATTCACTAAGATACCTTATTTGTTTTTTATGTGTTTTTGAAATATCTGTAATATATTTAAAGCAATTAACTGTAATGATTGAAAAAGAAAATGTACTTGATGATTATTTGATTAAATTTGTAAATCGTGATATGTATTTGTGGTGCTAGATATCGAATTGTTTGAGTTATTTTTTTTTCTTCTATAGAATTAATAATTATTTTTCAATAAACAAGAGAATTAAAGCTGATTGTATGTTGACTCTTTTATTTGACTTAGGAAATAAATATAAGAAGTTTAAAGTAATGTACCGGTATTAACAGATAAATTTCAATTTGATATTTTCTCGTCTTGTCTCAAGTAAGATCTTAATTTTACTGAATTCCAGAAGTTCAAATCAGTATATCTTCATTTAAAAAACGTTTGTTTCTTTGGATATTGGAAACTACGATGTTTTATTCGATTTAATTATTTCAGAATTATTTAATAACACTATAAAAGATTCACAATCAGGCAACAATACTAGATTTATTTCGAAATAAAATATGTTGTCATTTGAACACCGTGGATAAATATAGTTATTTTTCCTTCTCAGGTTTCATATGCATGGTAGCATATAGAAAATGTAGTGTCATGTAATCCCTCTCTGGGGAAACTAATCAATATAGGTTTCGACGCGAGCTTTTGTAAAAATATTTTGTCATATGCGTGGAAAATTTTACAAGCACTTGTTCGTATGTAAATTTCCTTCTGAGTCCTTTTTTTCTCTTTTTAAGGTTCATCCTGCTGTTTCGGATTAGTGAAAGGTGTCTATCAGTAGATAGAACATAAATATTAACTGGTTCATCGGAGAAAAATTTTGGCTGAAGTTATAGAAGGACTATAACGAATTTCTTTTGAATGGCAGCTTCATCTGATAAGCAATACTTCAAAATGAGATGTGAAAAAGCTCGTAGATTGTAAATCTATCGTAGAGAATGTCGTGATACTTATAAAAAACACTATTTTATCTATTATGCAATATATTCCAAGGTTTGTAGGTCATTGGCAATTCCATACTAAGCTTAACCCAGCTTTTAAACGGAACGTTCGTTGACAACTACTACCAATATTGCCTACTACCTATCTATTTGTAAAAAAAAACGATAAATTCTAATTATATTTTGATAACGTTACCACCATACACTGTTGAACTGGCCCAGCTATGAAGCACTAATAATGTCTCAACTCATATAAGCCATCTTAGATTGATTTATCAGAAGCTCCCGAACGCAATGTGTCTCTGTATCATACCTTAGAATAACTTAATTCTATTTGGGGCAACAACAATCTACTTTTTCAGCGCGAAAAATGATTCGAAATATCAATGAACAACAAATTGAACCATTTTCATCAGGAAAAGAATCACGTTTATAACTAGAGGTAGATCCTGAACTTTTATCAAGCATTTTCAAACCACATGAAGTCGTAAAAGATCTCATGAAAATCCGTTGGTGTCCTTCGATCTTATTTACAGCACTCTGAGAGCGTTTAACTTCCTTTTAAAGTCGAGTGAAGTATCATCAACCTCTCTGAAATCTGCCAAACCCTTTGGAAATCGAGAAACCTTTGCATTTAATGTCTTGTATCGTATGTTCATTGAAAAACTGACAAGAATTAACCTTTGCTGTTGGTTGTTTAGCGATTAATTAGTCATATATATAGTGGTCAAAGAGAATCTTTGTTTTTATGATTTGATCAAAGACATGATGTGTTCCTTGGTTTCGAATAGAGAACTCAGAAAAAAAACGAGCTGACATCGATAAATTTACGAAAATGCCAAAATTACAGCATAAGAACCACAAATGATGTCTTTGCTGGCATCCCACCAAGCATTTTAGAAAAAAGAGGAAAAAAGAGGATAATTAGTTTCAAGAAAAAGAGGATTTTGAATGAAAAAGAGGAGTTTTTTTTCAGTCTTCAACCCTACAAGAAATATTCGTGCTGAAGCAAAAATGACGTGCAGCCGACAACCTATCGGTTCTATTTAATGTCTACTTAGAAAGATGCATTTTGTCAAAGAACTCTTTAGTAT